TTTTACGATTTATAAATCCTTCAAATAAAAAATATCTCTAATGCAAATATTCTAATTAACTTCAATACAAAAGATGTAATTTATATTAAAAAAAAAATGGTTTGATTGTATAATATAGGTAAGATTGAGGAAGTTGGAAATTCTTGGGAAGTTTGAGCTCACATAGATCATGGGATAGCCACTTCTCCTTTAGTAAGCCACAATGCCCATTTGATTTTGTTATCTAAATTACTTAACTAACCTTTAAATTCCTAGAAAGTGCAAAAAGTGTAAGCTAAACAAATCAAAACTAGTTATTTCCTAGGATAACAAAGTAACTTATTACATTTTATTTTAACTCAAAATTCTTATGGTAATCAATTCTTATGTGAATCAAACGAGCACTAGAAAGTAGAACTAACCTGGTCTCTTGCACTTGTCTTTTCAAAGGCCGATGATAAATTCTCGGTGGTATAGATGGAGTGCCATCCTTGATGCACCTCCGGCCCACCATCATCACCTTCATGCCCTAACATACCAGATGCTGAAACTTGCAAAAATTGAAAATCATTTAGCCACTCAAAGAATTGTACACTCCCTCTCCACCACTACAATCTCCCTTCTTCCCAATAACTCCACAGACTCATCATCAGCCACCGCAATGTACCCCATAAAATTCGTATCCTTGCTCCATGGCTCAATAGATGAGAATGGCTTAAACAAGAAGGCATCAGGCATTTCTATACCCGAAGTTCCATAAAAGAACTTTGTAACGCGGTACTTGTAAGGATGACCTAATTCAAGACCTAACTTGGCGAAGAAGTTTTTCTTATTAAAACGACTAGCACCCGCATATTTAGAGTATTTATCTCGAATAAATGTGTCATAGGTTGCCTGAGCCATCTCTCCATAGTATATGATAGATCTTCGGAGTTCATTGTCAAGTGGCTCGAGTAGGCCTTCCCAATGATTTTGACCCATCAAAAGTTCCCATCTATCGGCTATGTAACCATCATCGGAGCTCGAGTGGTGGCTGGTGCTATTAGGTCTCCATTTAAGAGGTGTAGGGACTTTGGAGAATTTTTTGCGGAAGAAACGTTTGACTAAGGAAAACATGATCGCGTCGATAAGGCTTATCAAGCTTAATTAGGCTTTTTCTTGGAATAGAAAGACAAGAATGTGACATGATCTCTTTAAACTATATATAGATCAGTTATGCTAAACTATACATTATTATTACGTAAGGTATACAGCATTGCCGGCATGATCTTCCATATTTTTGTATTAATTCAACAAGCTGTCAGTATATACTTGAAAGATATGGTTATAAACTAAGATGGTGGACCAAAACTTTTACTGATTCATGGTTTATTTGATTTTAAAAGAGTAACAATGTCCAAAATTATATTTGTTTGCATAACATAAAATTGTATGATGACTTGGTAGCTTTTTGGAGATGCACTTACTAGTTTACGGGATGAATAGCTCTTTAGACACTCTATAAACAATAACTAGGTAATTGATTAATAACTTGCAACATTACTTGAGTTAGGCTGCGCTTGTAGTTATGAATTATTATCGACTTAGTTTAAACTTATTTGAACCGACCATTCATGAAGCTTAATTAATTATTTTTTAATGTTAAAATAACAAGGCCAATGCTTGACAAATAATGGTATAAATAATGTTCCCTTAGTAAATTAACAATTGTTAATTTAAATAAAACTTAACTAAATAAATTTGAAAACAAGGTCTTTAGACAAATGTACATAGGGACGTTATCATCAAATACCAAAGAAAATATTCAAAAAAAAAAAAAAAAAAAAAAAAAAAAAAAAAAAAAAAAAAAAAAACAGGAATAAGATAGTATCTATAGTTGTCAAAGTATTCGAATAGACTATTTCTTAGAAAGTCTAATACTAGACTTTAGACAGTTATATATACTTCGTATAAAGATTGATGTTTTGACCTTTCCACCAATATGCTCATTATCTAAACATATCAAAACAAACAATTGGACCCTATTGACATTAAATTAACTGGTCTTTACTTGTAGATATCAAAATCAACAAAATCATGACCTACTGTTAAAAGGGTCTTTTGTTATCAAGCTCGACTCTTATCTTATCATGCTGGATGCATTTTTACAACATATAAATTTTAGTGCAAACTAGAGGTTAACAAAACCGGCTTATGCTAAGAGCTTTCAGAATCGAACATGCCTACAATCAAGCATTTAGACTCAATCGAATTAAAATCAAACGTTAAACCTCAACAATTTGATAATTGTCATGTGCTAGTCTTATATGAGTTATCTCCTTTAAGCAATGTCAAAAGCATTGAACTAGTATAAATTAAGATATAATCAAATAATAACCAAATTAAGGACGAGACATCTTTTAAAAATGTGCCTTAAATAACACCATATGACATTCATAATTATTATTTGAAACAAACTTCTAATAGAAGTAGTGTATAACATAAAATTGTGGCATAGTAATTACTTAGATTTCAGGTTGCTGACTTGATTTTTTCAACCGACCAAAAAAGCATTCTGCAACTACACTAACTTATTAATTAGCTAACGTTGTTCTCATCATACAAATATAAATGGATCAAATAAGCTGGGATTGTCGTGGACCTTAAAGCAAGTCAGATCAGTGCGTGCTTCAAATTTGAGGATATATTGGCCAATTTTGTCACGCAAATTTATTTAGGGCCAAATTCACATATATGCCATTAAAAAAAATTTAAGGAAGGTTGTCATTTAGTTTCTGCTACCCAAAACAATAACAATCGGACCCATTTTGATCTTTCATCTTATGACGAATGAACGAGTAATTATTGCATGGTTCTGAATCAATGTATGCTCCTTGCATAGAAACAACTCAACAAGGTTATTAAAATACAATATTTAAGAAATGTAGTTAGTTAGTTACAATAATTTGTCACCTAATTCCAAAATATAATAAAGCCAGAGATAATTCTTACTATCTCCGTTTCGTAATAATCACAATAGTTTGACTTTTACACTATTTATATGCTTACTAGGAAGACTATTCAATGGCTAATTGAAAATTGTAGCCATTGTAATTAGTTTTAATCTTGGCCCTTCATTTTTAATGATCAATCTTGACCATTCATTCAATTGACTTTAATTTTTAACTAGAAATGAAAGAAAAAAAAAAAAAAAAAGTTTTCTTGATTATGATTGAAAGAACTGTTTTTCAGTTTCTATCTAAAGCAAAAAACTGAACTATGCCATTGACGTAGCAGTAGCACGTAGGCAATTTCTAAGTTCAAAGTATCTTGATCTCCAATCTCCATTGAAAACCCACATTTGATTTTAGTTTATAAGCTTTAATCCTAGTGCTCTAAGGTATTATATATTACAAGGTCCATAATTTTTGCATCAAAGTTATCAAAGAATGAATCATCCTCCATAAAAGAAAACCGGAAAAATCGGAGGGGAAAAAAGAAGAAGATGAAGATAAATAATTGTGAGATTTAATTCTAATTTTCAAGAAACCAATCATTTGACATTAAAGGTAAAATTTGAAAACATCAAGTAAGTTAAACTTGAAAAAAAAAATATATATATATATATATATATATATATATATATATATATATATATATATATATATATATATATATATATATATATATAAACTTAATCCTTCATCCAGATTTTCCAGTATTAAAAAGTTGAATTTATTAATTGGAGGGTTGTGATCCACTTAGTTAAAATGACCACAATTTTATTGTAGCCATTTGAAAACTGTCCATGCTTACTATGACTATGCTTTTTACCAATATATAAAAAACATATATATATTGTCATGTAATATATTTTTGGATTAGTCTTAATGTATTATTTTCATTATATTACCCCTTTATACTTCTTAATAATATATAATTACAAATATTAATGGTCAAAGTTATTCATTGACATATGTGTCAGTTAAAGTGTTACGATTATTATAAAACGGAGATTAAAAGTAATAATTTTGATGCTAAATGCAAAATTAACTTTTTGGTCAGTCAACTAGGTTCTACAAGGTTGAGTTCAAGGCTCGTACCACTTGCTTGTATTTCTGTTCTCCACCAAAATATTAACTTCAATAGTAGTTCAACTTTTCTATGATTTCAACATTATTTCCTTTTAACCAATTATTATGGATTGATGTTGTTGAATGTATACGGGACAATACGATCTCATATTCTAGCATTGGAAACCTTCATGATAATGAAACAATTGTTTTATCAGCCAATTATATTAATGAATCTCGTTTTTTATACTTCTAATTAATTCCTTCTTCAATTCCAAATCATATACGGTAAATATTTCTATTCGTCACTTAAACAATTAAACATATAAATCTCAAAAATGACTAAATCTTATATTAAAAGGTTCGATATGATGGAAAGACGTATAGCACCCCCAACCCCTAATTGGTCAAGGTCGAGTCAACCATCATCAACTCTGCATCTAGCTATGACCATTGTCCTCACAAACTAACACAATTTCTTTTGACACATATTTTCCTCACTCATGCGCAACATGATAAACTTAATTTCTAGGAGATCTTCCATGCATCCACTGATTACTTTCATTTAATACACTAAATTGTAAAGTATATTAGCATATGAGCTCATTTAAAGAAAAAAATCACCTGGCCTATTAATTAGTACATCAAATACTTTCAAAGCAATTATGGAGTGTATTAGAATGCAACTAGGAAAGACTGTAGTTTAAATGAATGTTAATCTCACTAGAACATATGAATACGAAGAGTTAAACCGATGATATGAAAATTTTCCTATTTAATACTTCGTGGATTATTCTAGTATGTCCCATTGTTCGCAAATTAAATCTCTTTGATCAACTATACAGATTATATAAATTTTAACAGATTGAGTATGTTTCAATATTGTAGAAAAAAGTGTACATATTGTAGTATATTAGTAAAAGACATTCAATTTCAATCATTAATTAAAAAAATTGTATAAAGACACACTTAAAGTTAAAGAATCCATGATAAATTGTAATGCCAAAGGTAGGATAATCCAAACAACAGAAATCGAAACCAAAAACACTAAAAAAAAAAAAAAAAAACAAACAAACATAGACTCAATGTCGTCGAAGAGGTCAGGTCTAGAAAGGTCCAAATGTACTCCTTCTGAGTTCTGACCCATAACTACACATTACACAAATTTTTGGATTCTATGGAAAAATAAAGATATTTTTTGGAAATAAAAAATATTATTATATGAAAAGGTCAAAGTCAATATAATGATCTTCATCATCCATTTCATGATCCATCAATAACCAAGAACCATTAGGCTGTTGAACCATTCCTTTATTCTTCAAAATCCACCAAGCAACCGGTATAAGATACTCATCCTTCAAATTATCCATCGACTTATTTACAAGTGCAATATCGCGATCAACTACCAACTTAAACGCCGCCTTACTACCTTGTGTTCCTGCAACTCCGTGCAAATATGCCTCCATATTATGCCAATTTGTGAACGTACCGGGGGTCTTCAAGTACGGAGACTTAGTCGTGTCAATCACCAACTCCTGGCCAACGTCGGAATACCCTAGTAAAGGGTAGTTTGGTACGATGTCAAAGGTGTTACGTACCCTTAAGAGTTTAAGTTTGTCATATTTTGAGAAAATCTTTTTGAAATCGGAGTCTCCTACTCTAGGGCTCGCGAATATTATGGCTGTTACTAAGTATGATTTTGCTGGGAAATCTTTGGGTTTGTTTAGGTCGTTGGCAACTATATCAACCGCGTTTAGTGTAGCTAGGGCTGCACCTAAACTGTGACCGGTTATAGTTATGCTGATCTCTTCATCTTTGTATTGTTCAACTAAATTTTGGAGTTCCTGAATAACCTGCAAATCAAATAAGGAAAATGAAATTTAATAACAAAATGAAATTTAATAACAACTATCTAAGAAAATTAGTATGTATGATTATATAAAGCTAGCTAGGTATGATTATTTTGTAAAAAAGTTTATTGTTGGCTTGAGCTTTGAAGTATTGATAATTATATGTTGTGACCACATGCATACAAGATATAACATTTGGTTTCGAGTGTTGATGGGATTTTTTTGTCTTTTTGTTTTTTTTTTTTTTTTTTTTTAAACACCAATATAATGTACAAGTAAAACATAATAAAATAATCATACTGAAAAAAAATTAGATTGGAATAATTATTAATTTGGATATATATATGGTCAATCGCTATCATTCTCCACCTAAACATTTTAAGTCTTAATCTATAGATACAAAATATATGTATATATTAAGTGTATATTATGTAAAAATATCGTATTTTGTGTAATTATGTAAAGGCAAATTTCACACACGAACGAGCAATACTTCTACTAGAATATACTATAGCTAGTTAATTGGAGTTTCATGTACACTTGTACTGTTGTACATGTTTTATTAATGAGAATTTTCGGACTCAAGGAAAATTACACAATTCTACACTACATATAATTTATTATTTGTAGAAAAATATGTCAATCATAAACTAAATAATCATTAAAACATTATGATAGTCATACTTCAAACGACCACTATAAAATTTTCAAATCATTATTATCTTATATAACATGTGATCTCGGTAACATATACCAGTACTTCGTATATATATGTATCTCTTTTTAAATTGATAGTGATGCTACAACACTTATATACATCTTGAAAGAAAAGCAAGATCTTCAAAAAATAAATTACAAAACAACAAATAGTAAAGGATGAAATAAAGAAGCAATTATAATCTTACTTGGGATCTTGCACTAGTCTTGTTAAATGGCGATTTAGGATCTTCCGAAGTATAAACCGAGTACCATCCTTCATGCACCTTAGGATCATCATTTCCATCACCCTTACCAAGTATACTCGAAGCCGAAACTTGAAGAAATTGCAAGTCATTAACCCACTCCAACGATTGTATAGTCCCTCTCCAAGCAATAACAATATCCCTCCTCCCTAACATAGCCACCGACTCGTCCTCCGCCACGGCTACATACCCTATAAAATTAGACTCCTTACTCCAAGCCTCCCTCGAAAGTGACTTAAACAAAAATGCATCAGGCAAAGCTATTCCCGAAGTTGCATACAAGAACTTGGTAACGCGGTACTTGTAAGGCCGTCCGTTTGCTAGCCCTACTTTTGGGAAGAAATTCTTCTTAGAGAAACGACTACTACCGGCATATTTCGATATTTTTGTGCTATCAAAGGTGTCGTAGCATGCTTGAGCCTTCTCTCCATAGTGGATGATGTTTCGTTGGAGATCGATATCGAGGGGATCTAAGAGGCCTTCCCAATCGTTTTGGCCGCTAAGCTTTTCCCATTTCTTGTGATGGTGAAGAGAGTTCATCATTTTTGGCCGTTTGTTGCTTAGCTTAAGTGGTATTCTTGGTTAGAAACGTAGGTACAAAGTACAAATGCAAATGTATTATTATCAATTTAAACATATATAGTGTCACATTGAGGTTGACATTGTGAGTTTCATATTTTTTTTTGTTATTTTATTACTCGGTAAAAAAATTGTAGTCTAAGTTACATTATGATTTTGAGCGAGGATTGAGCTTGAAGATTTGTTTATACAATGCTATTTATAGCTTAAGTTACATTATGGTCGTTTAGAGTATGATTAGTGCTATCCATTTTTAGTAGTAGATTCTTACCTTATCTCGCTATTATATACAAGTATTATATATATTATCTAACCACTTAACTATTTTAATTTCATAAGACTTGTTATCTAGGGAGCTCATGCACTATTCAAGTACATAATTTTCAATTACTCGATCCCTTCCAAAAGATTTTTTCTGCTATTAGATTAATACTCGTTCAATTATTCACAATTTGGGGAAAACTTTAAATTTTCATCAATATATAAGAGAAAACGTCTTTATGTAAGTTTTTTCAATTTATTTCAATGAATGTTTTAAAATATCAAAATTTATAATTTTACAAAGTTTCATATGTGGTCGGCTTCATCGTGTGGTCGGGATTACTCGGTCGATTAGAGGTTACTCGATCGGTCAGGTGTTACTTGGGCAGGGGTTATCCGTTTAATGTTTTGGTGCAGTGTGTGTCAACCGACCACACAAAAAATACGCTATTATAATTTTATTAATAGGTAAATAGAGATATTAATAATCAATGATGAACATTTATAGATGGAGAGGGTATTATCATCACTACATATCACGCCCCTCTTTTCAACTTTGGGATATAATTTGTGAGATACAAAATATCCAAAGTTACAAATAATATGAAACGGAGATAATATGCACAAAATAGGATTAACTTTATAGAAAGAGGTGGTATTACAAAGTAACAAAAAGTCCATGTCGTTGTACAACATATCAGGAGCTGATTGGAGATAATTATATGTACATCTAGCCCGCCTTGGACAATAATTCATCTATCATCCACATACATTTTAAAGATTAATTGTCGTGAAGTTAATAAAGGTTTGAATCTAAAATCATAAATTGATCCAAAGTCCACTTATATATGTTTTGAAACCAATTTTATCAAATTAAAGTCCAACAAATGGCAAAAACTACTCCTTTCAAATATGCGCGATTGTTGATAACTTGATCTGGAGGATTAATTAGCTACATCAAATCTACAATTAGAAAGATACATGCATAAGATTAGAGGAGACTAATGAGAAGACTTGTTTGAAAATGATATAATTAGTGTATAAAAATTGTTGAATTATTTATACTAGATGAAATCCGTGCGATGCACAATTTGTTTGTAATTTTTAAAATAATTATTATATTTTTGTAATAAAATTAGTTATTTTATTCGTCGTAAGTAGTATATTATTTAATATTTTTATTTTAAAATAAATTGTGAATTTCCTTTCCTTCATTATATATTTAGATGAAATTTCTAATCTCAAAAGATAATATATTATATTTAATTAATTTAAACTTTAAAATCTCATTCGCCAATTTTGATTATGTGGTATTTGAATTATTTAATTTTAATAGAATTTACAAATTTCTTATTTGATTGTTTATAACTAAAATGTATAATCCTATGTGGCGTGTTAAGAATGACGTTTTAAAACTGGACGAAAAACTCCCCTTGGTATTATAATTTAGATTGGAAACATTATGATATTTCAATGCCACCTGGATTATATTGAGTAGAGAAGAGACTTGCACAAAATTAAAGAAACAGAAAGGACGTTTCTTTAGTTATGCTTGTACGCATCACTCAATCGAAATATATATCAGATCATATGTTATATGAGTCGTAATCATGCACCCGACCAAAAATTCCTTAACAATTTTGGCTTAGCTTAATTAATTAATAGCTTTTCGGCTTGTTTCTTCAAGTACCATATGGCATATACCACGCTCCATCCTTTTTTTTTTTTTCTATTCCTAATAATAAAACTTCTATCCCGCAATATATTCTTTAGGGCTTATTTGACATTGTTTTTTGTTTTCAGTTTTCTATTTTTTTTTTTAAAACAAAAAAACAAAAATAGGAAACAAGAAAAAGGTGTTTCTACTTTTCTATTGTCAGTTTTCAAAATTACAATGAGTTTAATAAATTTGACTAATTTTTTTATTCATTGTATGACATATATCATATGATTTGAAAAACAAAAAACCAAAAAAAACAGAAAATCACAGTGATACCAAACGTACCCCTTTAGGCTAATTCGGATTCGAGATTCAGTTATGGGTGGTTAAGTTTCAGTCCCCTCTCAATTGTTGTTGCGAGGGATCGAACGCGCGGTCCTCCTCACCAAGTATAGTCTCAATCACCACTACGCCAATAGTCAATTGGTATTAATTTATAACTTTGACTATATTAACATACATATGTAAAATATTGTTAAATTGAATTCAGGTTATATTTTCAAAATATAATTTTCTCTGATTTTTTACTAATTGATACTTTTATATAATAAAATTAATGGTCCAAGCTGTGTTGTTTTAACATATGTAAAAGCAAAACAATGCGCATCTTTCTGAAACAAAGATACGTAGTACTAACTTTTTTACATATCAGAATTAAGTTTTGAAACCCGTTTAGCTTAGAGATTGTATAAGAATGAAGAGTTTTGTTCAAACAGTTTCTTTTAGGATGGAGGTTGAAGAAATTATACTTTTTTGTCAAAGAAAGAAAAAAAATAAAAGTATACTTGTTGATATGATTCTTTTCTAATATTCAAGTATGCTTATATAAAATTATTTTTGTCGAATGGATTGTTTAATCTTGTTATGAAATTAATGAGAAACGAAAGATTTAGGGCTTAGCATTGTTTTTAGACTTTCAGTTTTAAGTTAGTTGTTTTTTTTTTTTTTTAAAAAAATTAAAAACCAAAAACAGGAAACTAGAAAAAGGTATTTTTCACTTTTATGTTGTCAGTTTTCAAAATAAAAAACCGAAAACAGGAAACAAGAAACAGTTGTTTTCACTTTTATGTTGTCACTTTTATTATTTTAATAAGTTTGACTAATTTTTTATTCATTATATGACATATCATATGTTTTTGAAAGACTAAAAACAAGAAAAAGAAAACCACAACGATACCAAACGATCCCTAGGTAATGAGTTTGATTTGTGCTCGGAAATAAACTAGAAAAAGAGAGGATAATAGAGATACAATGAAGGAATACAACGCTCTCCATCTCACAAAATTAAATCTATCAAGTGGAGTTACATCTTGGCTTGAATTGGCTAGGCTCAAAAGCTATAAGCACTTCTAGTTGTTCGTCCAATGGTTTCTTATATAACAAAAGAAAACCCTAAATTATTCCCCAAGAAATAACATAAGTAGTCGTCATAAGCATACCTGAAATCAGGAATCAAAATTGAGATGAATTAAGGAAATCGAAGAAAAGGAAAGTTTGGTCAAACTTCTCATCAAAATGTTTCTAGCTTTGATAGTTACTCGTACAGCAGTAATAACTTTCTCTTATTTATCAAAATTGGGCATACAATTCAACCAGTCGTTAATTATAAATCTCTTGAAACATGTTATCACCTCCAACGAACTTAAATCATCTCAAGATCACTTCTATTTTGAGAGATATGTGCATTTGAAGTCTACCCTTTGCCATTTTACTAGATTTCAAGTCACAAATAACAAACCTTAACCTCTCCTCCACCCTCCCCACTTTTAAGTGGTCTTTGCTCCCTGACTCAGGTCTAGATGAACTAAATAAGGTTTTGATCTTGTATGTCATTCCTTATATGATAAAATAAAATTAAAAATAACGGGTTTTTCACTATATGCCTCGAAATTTTCACTTAACTCACCATATACTCCCTAAATTTTTTTAAATACACCATATACCTTTGTTTTTTCGTAAAAATGCATCAAATACCTTTAATGGCTACAAATGAGCAGAGTTTTATTGATTATGACCCATAACCACTTTAGATCCCTTCCCCCACTCCCGAAACCACCCCACTCCCTTCCCATGCCCTTGAAACCACACAAGATGTCCTTCCCCAAACTCCTTAATTATTAATATGATTAGTTTTGGTGGTGGAGAAAGGGCAATGGGGTGATTTTGGGGGTTTGATTTTGGGACATAATTAATCATAATGACTAACAAACTAACAATTATTAGTTATTAAGAATATTTTTTGTGAAAACTCAAAGGTATGTGATGTATTTAAAAAGTCAAGGAGTATATAATGAATTAAGTGAAAAATCAAGGGTGTTTGATGGAAAAACCTAAATTTAAATAAATTAAAGAATGAAAAGGGGTTGCATGACATTACTCACTAGCAAAACTGCAGAAGTTTATCAACGGATTGCATGACATCGGCCCACTTGGCCCAATCTAGGCCACAAGTCACGTTGCTTATTCAAAAATTGGAACAGCCCAACTCGTTTACATATTTCATACGAATTAGTGAAATGGAAAGCCCAAATATTCTCTCATCCGATTCATACATGAAACCTTTATTGATGCTTTATAAACTTCACTAGCAATACTTCATCAACTATTTTTCTATCATATCATGACATTACTTGCACTTTTATACTCCCTCCGTCCCTAAGTAAAAGTTTCATTTATCTTTTGTAAATATTTTTATGAAGATGAATTGACAAAAAAAGATATGAATTTGGTTGATTAATAGAGAACATTAAAAAAAAAAAAAAAAAAAAAAAAAAAAAAAAAAAAAAGAGAAATTTGGATGATTAAAAGTGAAAAAAAATAATAATCAATAGAGGCGAAATGAAACTTTCATTCATGAATAGACTTTTAGGTTAAACGAGCCTTTTTTTAATAAGACTTTTATTCAGAGACAAAGAGAGAGTAATTATTTATTGCAAATTAAAACCAAGTTTTGTTTTCCTATTATTTCAATTCTCATTTGGAATTGTCACGATAATAGCTCATTGAGAGTTACTTTGATAACCGAAGTCAATTTTTGTTCAATTTGATCAAATAAAGTCCATTATCCACCTTTTCAAACCTGCATATCAAAAGGAGGTTCAATAGGCTCCGCTCAAGTCCAAAAGGCATTTAGAATCACTATAAATTTGTAAATAACTGTCGAGGTGCGTTTATTTAAGGAAATTTTAGAAAATAACACCTTAAAAAAACCCGAATTTTGATTATAACACCACCACACAAAAAAAAAAAAA